CCTTAATTCAGATCAGGCAGCTCCTCAGTAGAACTGAGGACAAAAGAAGCTGATGACTGCAGTGATCTAGCGTGATCAAGTGTGAGCTTCCCTGAATTTATTAGGATTTAAAAAAAACTGCAGGTACCCAAAGATGTCAAAAATCTGTTTCAGAAATGAACAACATCCCTAATGGAACAGATCATCAGTTCTTTACCTTTAGCATCTTTGCATTAATTTAGGTTTTCTTGATTAAAAAAGGTAAGTCAGGCTTTACCCTTTAAAACTGTGCAATACTGATACAGATCACCTTTTTGATCTTCTTGATCTCTGTATCATCCTCACTGGGGGGCACCTCTGGATTTGACTGGATCTTCTCGTTGTCCTTCAGAAGTCCAGCAATCTTAAATTCATCATAACCAGTACAGGACTCAGTAAGAGGAATATAATATGTGTCCAGATAAACTCTACTCATGATCATCTCTTATTCCGAAATATGTTTCTCTATGGTTGTTAATATCTCAGTTCATGTTCTTGAATTACTTTTTGTCCAGCTATCCATTAGCTGGCTCAAAGAAATTATAAACACAGAAACTGCACCAGACACATCAAAATACCAGTTTTGTATTTCATTCAAATCTGTTGCATTTGCTTCCATTATACACAGCATGTGAATATAAAACTTCTGATAAAAGACTGAAATTAAACAAAATAACACAAACACCATTACTAGAACACTCTTTAGCTGTGAAAAGTGAGATAGTAGATCATGTTTTTCAGCCACAGACTCCAGTATCATGTGCAACAAAAGCCGATTCATGCATATTGAAAACATTTGGTTCAGCTGAAGCTAGCCATTAGCACATTAAAGAGAGGTGCATTTGATTTAGTTTAGACTGAATAATTAGGATACAAAACACTCAGCAGCATTACAGAGTCTCTAACAAGGACATCCCAGGGGCACTGCAAGCTACAAAGCTCATCGTGAACTCAGAACATTGTGGTTTGGAATCTGGGTCATGACCTTTGTCCTGTGACCACATTCTCACTTTATCCTCTCAGCCTGCCTGTTTTTGATCGCTTCTCTCCGTATGCTATCCAGTAAACACACATCACACATATACAGGTACTGTGTTACTAGCATGAAATTACAAGGCAAGTTACCTCTGATTTCAGTCGCTCTATCTCGATTTCCCCATCCTCTATCTGTTGTCGAAGTTGCTTGGCAACCGTTTTCTCCGTCTCCACTATTTGGAGTAGATGAAGATACTTCTGCATGAGGGTCTCATGCTCTGTAGCCAGGTTCCTGTAACTATACAGACACATACGCAAAGACCTCATTAACGCATGTTTCAGGGGCTCTCCACAGCTTTATCAAAGCAAAGACAGACCTCTGATCAGCATATGTTTGGAACACGGACCTTAAATCCTCAGAAAGTGCAGGATTTACTTACACAACCAGGTCTTCAAATACTTGATGGGATAGCACTCCATATGTTGGATGCTTTTGTGTGAGCAATAATTAAACTGTTCACGTGCATGTTATTTAAGGCCTAAAATCAATACAGTCAATTATGTTCAGCTTGCCTAAACCTGGCCTTGAAAATGTCCTGTCAAAAAAAATGTTTGGCAGGTGTTTCAGTTAAATTTTACTCAGTTTAGATGTTTTCTGGCATGCCCCACTTGCAAACCTCTAAAACGTCCCATATACCACAGTTTTTGTCTCGTTTTAATGCAATAAAGGTTGGTAAACTCTTTTATATTTTCTCCAAAAGTAAATAAATAAATTCCATATTTTCCCCTCTTTTCTCTTGACTAAACTTTCACAATTCGAAAAACACAAATTTAACTAACTTTAACAATGCAGATTGTTAACCATAAATAAAGAGTAATTCAGAAATACTCAAACCACATGGCATTTACATGCCAGGAATGGCTGAAAAATTTAATTGAGATACCTTAATACAAGTCTTATTTACTTGCTAGCTATTACAGTGTTACAGTAAGTGCTGCTGCCTTGATGGTGCACTAATCAATTTAATCTTCAATGACTCTAATCAGTCGACCTTTTGTCACTGATTTGCAAACTGTTGACATTTAGAGTGATGGTATTGTTTTGCTTTCATTAACCTTCTTTGTGCCCTCATCATAAGTGGCCATTTCACTCATTAGACATGTGAGGACTCCATAAATCAAGAATCAATATTAATAACCACTTTGTTTTTATTGATTTACTTAATACTTTAAATTGGTGTCGTAAATTATCAGTAGAACTGGTAAAGTGGCACTCACAGTTCCCTAGGAAATGTTTATTCAAAGGTCCAATCATCTAGAAGGAGATAAGTAACATACATGCATACATGTGTTACTCTCATTATAGTATGACCGCTGTGTTGTTTTAACATTATAAATTAACAAGCAATCATACAACAATACAAACCCAAAAGGGTCCAAATGATAGTTTGCGGCACACTGAGTCATAGCACTTGCATTTTCCATCAGATATACGGAGAAAAATCTATTCTATGCCCACTTAATAGAATAAAAACCAAGCAGCAACCTATGTTAAAAATGTAGGAAACACCATAATTCCTGCAAAAAAAAAAAACCCCAAAATCTAGTTAAGACTGACTCCAAATGCAAATCGGTTTCTGTAGATTTCCAAGTTAAAAGCCTATCTTTGATGCAAAAAGTTTACAGACCAACAGCCTCCACTTGTTAATAAGCTAGTGATAAGTGGAGACAGTTTTTCATGTTCAGTATTAGTAGTAAGCAGGCCTATGTTCGAGTCAACATGATTTTCACTAACTGAAATTGTCATTTATTTATTCATCACAGTTAATTACACCTGATAGCTAGCCAGCCCTTACTAAAGCTGATGATTAGCTGCAGATGGGACAGTTATTTTCAACATTATGTAAAGTAGCTGTAATTTCAACTTTGTCAAATCTTATTTAAAAGTTATGAAAAATTGCCCAACTTTGGCCCAAATTAAGTTTTTGCTTTAATTTTTAACACCGGACTTATTTTTGTACCACTGTCAGTTTTCCCACTGATTTCAATTCAGGATTCTTTCTATTTTATTTACTTTATTTATTTAACCCTTATTTAACTAAAAAGTCTGTTGAGATTAAAAAATATTGTTTTCAATGTAGACCTGGCCAAGAAACCACGCCGTAATGGGAAAAAAAATCATTCAGCCTTTACTTAATCTAGTTGTTTCAACCAGAGGCTCTCCTAGTGCCATGTGTCTTTCTTATGTCTCAACTATGTACCCTCTGAGCATGCCAAAATAATAATAATAATAATAATAATAATAATAATAATAATAATAATAATAATATAAAAAAAAAACAACATACTTTGGACTCTGTAACACACATCAAGTTTACAGGTACACACAGGGAAATATCGTGACTAATGACTGTTGTTAGGATCCTAACCAATCTGCTGGTACACTTTACAAATATCAGTAGTTAACATACTTGACCATTTTTATGTTTGCAAGTACAAACACTATCAGTTTCCACTTGTCAAGTTGTAAATTCAAGAATTACATGGTAATCTATAGTGGACCTGACTTTATAGATGGTATAAAAGACTGACTGAGCCAAAATGATGTTGCACATTCATTAAGGAGTTCATTTTGTGAATCCTTGAGCTGGTTGTTTTTCATCATCTTCCTCAGGTAAGCTCACACTAAAGCATATACGTAATGCTTTATGCACCCTGACTCTAAAAGGGATCTTAGTTTTCTAAATTGTGGTCATGGTGCAAACATTTTCAATTGATTAAGAACAAAGGGATGTTTTCCGATGTCTCTACAAGTTGAATTTGTTTTGCAGATACAGAAGTGACCCACTGTTTGCCATTTAAAGTATACATCTTTTTATGCTTTTTTTATACACTCTCTATATAAGTTCCAACCTAATTTTTCACATCTTTATTGACTGTAGATGTTACAAGCACAGTTCTCATCAAGATCTTCACCCCTCAGAACATCCTTGTCTAAACAGCTGTAGGTAAAAGGTCATGTGTGAGAGCTACCTGGCCTGCGTGATGGCGGCCACCCACTCATCACAGTCCTTGACGTCCTCTGTGCGCAGCTCCAAAGCCTTCTGGTTGTCATGATTGAACGTGACAGTGAAATAATACTGGGAAAACAAAAGCATAGTGAGTGAGTCAGATATTTGTTCAGCGTATAATAACCAGGATATCTGTTTTTGTGCTATAAAATGTATGTTGCTACCCTTTATTCACTAGTAATCAGCAGCCACTTCCACTGATCTGTATTTTACTTAAAGGTGTATTTATACACGCATACATGTGCTGTATGTGTGAATGAGTGAGAGAGAGAGAGATCCTGGGGGGAAAGTCTTGAGAGATTCATTATAAAGCCTTTGTGCCTTCTGTCTGTAACCTGGCAACTCACCTCTGAATTGGCGGAAGCCTCTTGACTGACGCCATGTTTTGTTTTGTTTTGTTCGAGTGGTTTGGCTGCATTTTAGCGACACAACCACCCCTGGGTCCTCACCCCTTTTTTACACTCTCACCAATTATCATAAGGTTGAGTTATGGTAATTATGGCGAATGCAGTTCAATTCTTTTCTAATAGGCTTACTGGATAAAATCCTCAAATCACCAGAGTGGTGATCATTGCACTACTAGTACAGCTAACCTATTTGTAGTAGAAACACATCAAATTATATAACACTGATGCATTGTAAATAGACCCCCACAAATCCAATATATTGGATTTTTTTTTTTCATGTATCCTTCCCAAATGCCAAGAGCAATTCATTTGTGAATGACAGTAATGTTCCTTATTTTGTGATGAGCAGCAGAACGGGCCTTTGTCAGCAATGTGCTTCCCATCTCTCACATCCTGTGAGCTGTTGTGTTAAACCTTTTAGGTGGCTATATTTAAATCCAAGTCATTACAGGGTTGTTGTTTTTTTTTTTTTTGCCAAAGATACAGTATCTGTTGGTAAGTGAGACAGCACAACCAGTAAGTAAGTCCTTGTTATAATAATGTGTGAACAAAGCAACTAAATTCCATCTGGAATACAGAAAATAAGACAATGTTATATTTATGTAAGATTAATGTTAAAGGCGTGTTTTAATCACAAAAATACAGAATGACTTATTTTTTTATGTTTTTATTCAGCTACTCATTCAAATAAATAAATCATAGCAAGAATAGCCAGTATCAAAAACACAGTCTAGATGGGTGATGAATTAAAGGAAAAACCCAAACTGTTGACCCCAAAAACAAAGGGATCTGGTGGGTGGTTCAGTTATGCATTGCAAGCAGTATTTTCGGTGGCATGGCTTGGTCCCCTTAGATGGAAAGGTTATTCAGAATCAATATGAACTAGTTCTGGGTGTCCCTTTGATAGACTGGCAGCCTGTCCAGGTTATATTCCACCTTTCACCTTATGAAGCTGGGGTAGGCTCCAACTCAACCCTAAGTTGGATAGACAGTCAAAAGTGAGGATGAATGGATGGAAGATGGCTAGCTCAGGATAATCACCTTCCTCTTATGATAAAATATTTCTGTTCTTATGTTAGTGGTGTTCTTCAGGATGGTATTGCCCCCATACACAGAGTACGTTGGAGGGTTAAATAATGTTTTAACCCTCCGACTTTAGTCGTTACAGTATACATTTCTGTCACAAAGACCACAGATTCTATTTCAGTTTATATAATTGGCCAATTCACACTGATATTGTCCACTGAATATTGCCAGGTGGATTATCACGATTACTGTAAACTGGCCAAAGCCATGCTGTTTATATATAGATGATTTAATGTGTGACCTATATTTTCAGATTACATCATAAAGTCAATGAAGTGAGTATACACAGAGACTGATGGTACACCATTGCTGATTACTCTTAACAACAAAGGAAAACATATAGCCCATCCAGCATTTGCACTCGCCACTACCTAAGAAAACTCACCTCCCATTTCTTATAAGCCCATATTTGCTGTACTTGCTAAATGGAGTACAATGCCAAAGCATGTTGTTGCACATTTTGTTGGCCCCTTCAAATGTACTTTTTCAGATGCAAATAGGGGTTGCCATAGTAACTGTGGGCTTAAACGTAACTCGCCTTCTAAATGGGGAATAAGAACATTTAAAAAGTAGAACACTCCAAAGAACACAATGAGAACAGAGAGCCAGACGGAGAGGGAGGCAGAGAAAGATCTTCTGCCTTTTTGAGGAGTGAGGGCTATAAAAAGCGCTGTAGCCCAGCAAGGTGGCAGTTGGCTTGGCATCTATTCGCTGTATTGTCCCTCTCCCTGTCACACACAGATAAGATCCAGTGCTCTCTTGGCCATTTCTCCTGCAGCTCTGACACACACTCGGTGACATACAGTACATGCATACACACCACTGAAATCTGGAATCTGCTGTAATCCTTACATGAACCAGTTTCCACGTCAGGATTGTACAGCACCATTGTCTGTGACCACCTCTGCAGTCTGCTGGTTGACTTAGGTGTCATTTTATGTTTTTCCCGAGTGAGGATGGTGAAAAAGAAATCTGTGTGCCAACAGACACCTTGAGAATCGATCAGTCTCCCTGTCCGCATTTCACCTTTTCTGTGCAGTCTCTCAGTTTATGGATCAATACAGGCGTATACAGGAGTACACCGAGAGGCAAATATAGACTTAGTGGCATGCACACAGAATGAGCCCTGCAAGATTTACACATGTGGACACATAAAGACATGACTGATTGGAAACTACAAAGTGTGCTGTTCACACTGAGAGAAGACCACATATTTGTGTGAATACATTTTCAAAATTTATATGTATATAGTTTTGCTAAACTAAGAAAAGAAGCCATTTAGAAAAAAACTGAAAGAACATGTTCCTGACACATATTATGCAAAGGGACATGTGTGGAACAGAAGACTGTGTTATGCTAAGTGAAGGCTTTCAAATTCATTTAATTCATTGTTGAAATAAATTCACTGGAGCAGTCTGCATGAACAGCTGTCATCGGAGATGTCACTCAGTACATATTGCACCCCTAGAATAGAGCATTCCTCTTCTCCTGATACGGTTTTAAGGGAACAGACAGCGAGCAGTAAACAAAGTTGAATAGTTCACGAAACGAAAGCAAACAACAAGTCCTCAAAAGTGGGTTAGTTGTCTCTATCTTTTAAACAACAAATGACCAATATTGAATTTTCTTGCTGACCCCCTCTTCCCACAGCTATGCAATCCTCACGATTAAACTGCATAATATAACTATATCT